AAAAAAAAAAAAAAGGGAAAAAAAAAAAAAAAAAAGGAAAAAAAATTATATTCAAAGTATATATTTTCTCTCTCTTAGTCCAGCCTCCCTCTACCCTCTAGGCAATATAATGACATTCATTCCATTACAAGCTATGAAGGCTGTTAGCAAAAGATGCCGAGTATCCCAAGTTTTTCATCTTCCTCTTAGGTGCTCCTGTCATCTTAAAACTCACCACATGCTGGTCAGTTGTGATAAGCAGAATAATGACCCCCACAGATGTCCACGTCCTAATTTCCAGAACCTTTAAATATGTTATGGTACATGACAAGGGGGAATTAAGGTTGCAGATAGAATTAAGGGGTGCTAATCATATGACCTCAAAATAAGGAATTATCTGGGTTGGCCTGATGTGTTCATGAGACCTTAAATGTGGAAGAGGACACAGAAGAGTCAGAGTCAGAGAGATTTGAAGATGTTATGCTGCTGGCGTAGAAGATCGAGAACAGGAGCCATGAACTAAAAAATGCAGTGGCCTTTAAAATATGGAAAAGGCAAGAAAACTAATTCTGCTTTAGACCCTCCAGAAGGAATGCCAACAGTTTGGTTTTAACCCAGTGAGACCCATTTCAGACTTCTGACCTCCAGAACTGTGAGATAGTAAATCTGTGGACTATTTTAAAGCCACTAAGTTTGTGGTAATTTGTTAGAGCAGTAACAGGAAACTGATACACCAATATTTTAAAGACTTCAGCTATATCCAAATATTCTGGTTATTTGGGTAAGAATACTCCACAAAATGGACATGCCCTTCCCCAACTCCATTTGCATACAACAAAACAGAGTAATTGCTAATTCCTACCTAACAAGTAGGGAAATGAGGTTGCTGTCTCATTAGAAGCATTTGTCACGAATCAGAAAGAAGAACTCTGTCCCAGAAAAATCTCAAGATTGTCCTTTCATTTGATAAGAAAAGGAGAGAGTTAGAGAGGGCTCTTCCTCATCCAACGGGCTTCTAGCCAAAAGCAAAAATTCAGCAGAAGAAGGCAAACCAGTGGCAGGTTTCAAATCTTCTGATTTTTAAGCATAACTGCATAGACTTCATCCCAATTCCTTGAAGGTGTCCTTGCCCTAATGTACATACTGAGATGTGTCAGTAAACACGGTGTTAAAAGTGTCAGGCCCAGACCTCTTCCTTTTTCTAGTGCTAGCCACGGAGTGAGGTATTCTTTGTGTTCCCTGTCAGTGTCTCTCTTTCTGCACACACTT